AGAAGATTTCTTTTCTTCTGCACGGTGCGCGGAGCACGCGCGTCGCGAAGATGCCGATTGCTCGGGCGAGAACGCCAAGAGCGCAAGCTAGATAGTGGCGCGACCAGTCTGCGTAAGAGCCACGATGGAGTTTCGCCCCACTCCGGCGATGTTCCAGCGGAAGTGGCGGTGTCTTCTCGGAGAGGAGTCGCCAATTGATGCTGCGCTGCCGCGCCCCCGCCTCCTGGGGAGGTGACTTTGCGCCGACTTGCCGCGGCAGGTCTCGTCCAGACTGCCAGGATGAAAGCTTTGAGCCAGCGAGTTCAAGCCGAGGAGGGGGCGCAGAGGCCACCCCCTTTTCCACGGGCACGCAGCGCGGTGTTTCAAACGTTCCGGCCCCGCGTGGCGTCTGCGCGGCGGGGTGTGCAAGAACATCGGCGATGCGAGTGTTCTCGCGACGGCGCCATGAGATGGGCCCCCCTGGCGCCGGGGGCCATCCAGCATCGACCAACTTGAAGATGTGCCCGGCGATCCTTTCAAACGTCGGCGTGAGCCCAGGTGCATCCAACGGCGCGTGCCCACATGTCACTGCTGCTAGGGGCTTGCAGTCTACTATGAAGATGAACAAGTGCATATACGGCGGAATTCAACGTCGGGCAGTTCGCCCGAGCGCCGATCTGGGCGCCCATCCAAGCCGCGATAGTCTTCCGCGATAGTCTTCTTCCGCATGTTGCGGGCCGGAACGTCTGCGCGAACGCCCCGCGCACTTCGGCCGCAGTCAGGAAACTGCCATCGCGCGCAGACGTGTGAATCACGCCTGTCGCGCCTCAAGCGCCGTGATGTTCCGAAAGCGTAGCGGAAGATGTCCTCCAGCTCGCGACCGTGGCCAAGTCCTGCCTGCGCGACGCCCTCTGCTCGGCGCTGCCGCTTGAAGTCCTTGACTCTTTCCCAAAAGACACGGTCGCGGTAAGCCCTTGACATGGCCAGATAATTCACCCCGCCGGGCGAAGTAAACTGTCGCTCCCGCCACGCCCGTCGAAGATGGCTCGCAGAACGTCGCGATGACAAGAGGCGCGGCCGCGCCCCGTGAACTAATTTCGGATCATGCGCGAAGCATGGAAATTCTAAGACACGCGCCCCTCATCAGGTCGCCGCCCCAGCGGGGTGGTCTTGCGGGGCGTCCCATTCTAGAAAGAACGCGAACGGACACAAAGGGATGCGTGCAAAGACCCGCAGCAGAACAAGCTGGATGCCACTGGTGCTCACGACCAAACGCGTAATGCACGGGGTGCTGGCCCGCGCCCAGACGCGACCCGGCTGCGCCCCCAAAAACAAACTTCTCCTTGAGACAAGCGGCATTCCAAACGGACGCCGGCATCTCCTCCAGGGTCGATCATGACGCCCAAAGGCAAGCATGACGCCCAACGATGGAAATACTTGAGGCCTGCACGGCGCGTTGTTGCTGATGGGTAGAGCCCCGCAGGAAACCGCAAAACATGTATTCGAACGAATGCGCCTGCCATGTGAACCCGAACTCTTCGATCGCAGAGGTGAAGTCCCGCAACGCGTCCGTGAACTGTTCGGGCGATTCGCTGAAACTGATGATGTTGTCAACCCAAACGAAGTGGGTTATACGTAGGTAGTGTGGTCGGTCATCGTCCAAAGCGGAACCGGCAACTATCTCCAACCACGCGATGACGACGGGCTCCATGAGGTATTCGATCACGCATGCAATTGAGCTCGTCTGGGGCGTCGTTGCCTCCCTGCTTGCCGCCCAACTCGAGCGGAAAATCGTCAGAAAATCTGGCCCTGGTCAGCTTCATGCGACAGGACCCCCCGCTGACTTCAACAATCAAGGCTTTCGCCAGCTGCGGGTGCACACCTCTGCAGAGAAAAGCCTTCAGCATGTTGACGTGCCGCATCGTGTCGAAGGCGGTGGCGATGACAAAAGAGCCGAGATCAAGAGGCACGCCCCGCCTGTACGCAATAAAAAGCGTTTGCTGTAAGATGGAACCGGCATCGCCGCATGTTTAGCGCGGGCGGAACCCCAACGTTTCCATATGGCTTGGATTCAACGATTGACGTAGCGGCCCTTGTAAGCAACGAGCGTACCACTTTCAACCAAAATCCAATATACAAACCCACCGGCAAGACGAAAGTGCTTTGCTCGAGGTTTCTTCGGGGAAGCCCCTGAACTCCAGAGTATCCCAAGTGCTTGGCGTCGCCGTCACGTCGCCGCCATACCTGACCTCAAACTGCTCCCAAAAGTCACGGATTATACCAGATTGGACGCCTTTGTACACTTCGCTTGTAATTCCGTGTGTGCATGCTGCAGTGTTGTTTCGTAGACTGGCGCACGCGGGAACGACTGAGAAAGGTGTCGTGCGAGGCGGTGCCATTCCATCAAGAAGTACGCCCCTGACAACCCCCTCCAAGCGATCGAACCGCGCACGCCCATGGATTGTCTGCACATCCGAAGTGGGCGCGGATGAACTTCCAAACCTCGCGCAGCCACTCCAGCCGGTCCGTGGTGTCCACGCCATCTACCTGGAAGGCGTGAGGTGTTCGCGAAAACCCAGTCTCCGGCCCACGGCTAGGAATCTGCCCCGATGTTTGTCTCGGAGGTGATCGCGTTTCGCGCGTCTCAGGGCCAAGACGGCTGCTCGTCGGTCTTCGGCAGCGTGCTGCGCCGACGGCGTGCTGAGCAACCTTCAAAGCTGCATTGCGAATCGACCGTTCCTTGGCTTTTCTATGAGCCCTGGTGTCGACACGAATATGGCGAGTGCAACGGATCGTGAAAACACTTTGTGTCACATCGATCGGGCCCTCGACGTACCAACGACACCGCTAGACAAGAAGAAGAAATCGATTTGCGACCTCGTGGACTTGTAGGTGCTGGCCATGCGGGTCCAGAGGCGGCCTTCGGAGAAGGTTCACCATTGGGCTGGTCGCTGAAGGTGTTCGTGCCACGGAGGCGCATATAATCGATCCAAAACAAAACAATCCGTATGTGTGCTGGCGTATGTCTCGGTTTGGGAAATAATGCAGAATTGCCGGTACGCCTTCCAAATTAGCAGACAACCTGATGCTCGCATCAACTCCTAATATTATGTGGAACTGCACTCCGGAATGCCTCTCGCGAGTGCCGTGCACGTACTTAAACGGTTTTCTGAAACAACACATCACCCCGTCCTTCTTCCTCAAGGTGGTAGGGAATGTGTGCGGACAGGAAGATGTAGCTACTCAGTACAGCCCCACATCAAAAGTTACCTCAAGCAATTATCTCTCACGGCATGCACCCAGAGTCTAGGAATAAGAAGGTCGTAATCACTCCCATCCTTGGTAACAACGGTATGGCCAGAGTACGAGTAGCCATCCGGGCACCCACAAGATGGAACTTCGTGTAATAGTACGACGTGCTCCCCAAAATTAAATCGAAATTGACGGCAGACCTTCCCAGCAGCGCCGTGGTCTTTCTTGCAAGAGTTCCAAGATATTGCATTGAATTCTGTCACGGTGAAACTGCTGCGGCCTCGAGGGCCCACTCGCGGCGGAGGGCTCGAAATCTCAAGTGGGATTCCCCCTGTTAAACCCTTGGGCCATCTTGGGGCTCTCTTGGGCCGTCCTGGGGCTCTCTTGGAAGCCTCTTGGGCCGTCTTGAGCGATATGAAGGGCCTCTGGGCCGTGTGGACGCTGTTCAGACGCAACATTCGAACCTGGGGGATGAAACGAGTTTGGCCTGCGGGGGCCCTCCCAGGGCGCATCTTGCAGCCTTTGACGTCTTCGGGGCCTCTTGAACCATCTTGAAACAATATTCGAGCGTCCTCGGCCCTGTCAGGCCGCTCTGGTCGTTTCTGGTGGCCTCCGGGAGGCCCCTGGAGGGGGTCAACCATGCCGCGGGGGAAATCCGAAAGGGTGTCCTGGCCCGGGCCCCGGACCCCAATACGCCAGCACATATGCATGGCGTCGGGGGGCCCCCGCCGAGCCCCGCAGCCCCGTGTGCTCCGTACCTTGGGTTTTCCCCCTTTCCAATTCGAGCCGGGCGCAGAGACTTGAAAGACCTGAAAGGTTCTGAAGAACCTGCTTCTCCTACTTCCTCACCACTAGAAATCACTGGGTGGCAGGATTCGGTCGCAGACAGCTCCACCGAAGTAGTGACCCAAACACGGCTTGATCTGGGAACAGAAGGTACCGATCATGCGGATTGATCCGAGACCTACTGCCCCAGAGGAAGGCAGGGCTCACGCGCAGTGGGGCCCTCGTGCACGCTTCGTGTGCCGTCTCCGCTAAGTGCAAGCAATGTTTGGGGAATCGCCCAGCTGCATCAATGCCCCTCGGCCTACGAATGCCTCCAGGCCGATTCGTTTGCGCGCGCGCTTTCCGCAATGATGTACGCCGATCATGCTGTGACACAACTAAACATCAAAATCATGTCGAAACTCCATCGTGAGGAAGACGACGGCAGAGACGACTGGGCCGAGAGCTCCAGGGGGCCATACGCAACGTCGGAGGCTCTGCATGTTGGTGTGGCCGACAGCCAGGATCGACGAACGTATCACCATCCGTGCCCTCGCAACCGTTCAACGCAGCGCGATTCCACGGACACGCCGGGCGGTTCGGGCGCCTCGACGCGCCGGGAACGACCGTGCATCCTGAAGGGTGCCCGGCGGCGGAGCCGCAGCCAACTGCATGCGGCACGCGGGAAACATGTCCATAGCCACGGCCTCGCGGCCCGGATTCCACAGCCGCGATCCCGCGGATACGGGGCGGCTCTGCGCGTCCAGACCGCGAGGGCACGGATGTGGATAGGTCCGTCGCTTGTGATGTTCGCAACCGCCCTCCCCACCCACCCTGGGCGGTTCAGAAATGGTGCCCTGGGATGGGGCCCCAAGTACGAGGGGCCCCAAACAATGTAAACTCGACCTGGGATCCCTTCCTACCCTCGGCGCCCCATCCCTCAGGGCCCCATCTTAGAACCGCCGACACCCGCCCGCTCACCCTCCAGCTCGAACTGCGCGGTCCTGGTTGGGCGACTCCGGCTTCTGCCCGCGGTGGCTCTCCATGCCCACACGGTGCCTCATCCTGTGGAAAGGGGAAGGAATGCGCACCGCCACGAAGCCTCCCCAAGCCCACTGTGGGACCACACCGTGGTGTCTGCCTGGCACTGGGAAGACTGGGAGGCCATGTGCAACAAAGTTCTGGCGCAAAGGATGGTAGGAGCCTGTGCGCGCGGCTATGACTTTCTCTTGTTGTGTGCTTGCCTCGTGGAGTACACCCCCACGCTGCGACAAATTGTTCACCAGGGCCAGAGAACAAGAGTCGCGAAAAAGAAAGTAGATGCGACACTTGGCAGGCAGTGCGTGACCGAAGAACGGATCCTTCAACGACAATGACGAAAACTGACCTGGGTAGCATGTACCCGTGGGAGATTGCGCGAGGCAGGGATTTATCCATAATTATCCACCGCCTGGGGACCACAAGGGGCGGTGCATATGGATATACTTGGTCCCCAGGTGGGCCTGAATATGTCCGTACATCGCCCCCCGAAGTCCGGAAAGATCGATTCCGCTCGCGGCGGATGCGTATAACTCTTTGTCACGGAAATCGGTAGACGGAGAAGAAGATGCTTTGTGCTGAAGGATTCGCGACGTCAGGGAGAGTCCCAGAAGGATCTCTGGTCAATCTCAGAGTCCACGTGGGGAAGGTAGGGTCCCGCTCCGTGGTGCCGCAATCGGTTCGGTGCGAATGGTGAATAACGTTTGCAGTGGATCATCTCACCAACCCTTCAGGGCGTAAACCAGGTAGTTTAACTGTTTCGTTATTGCACCTCCCTTATTCCCCTTCGGGGAATGATTCATAAGCAATGGAATCGGAGGCCCCAACGCCCTTCAGAGCAAGTTGGGATTAATTTGGAAAACTACGTCTCGGTCCGCACCCTCGCACAAAGCATACCGGAAACGGCGCCACACAGGCCGCGCATTCATTGTTGGCGGTGCGCACGCGCGTGCAACATTCGATCATCCCAGCGCCTCTCACTCACCGATCGCTTACTTGCACCCCTCCTTCTGCGGCTAAGCCCAAGAACAAATCACAACCATTGCTACCGTGCAATCTGCCGTGGCAACGAGTCCCCCACCTCCGCAACCACATTAAATGGAAGACGAGCACTTCTAACATAGACTACATCCGCCAGCCCCCTTGTGAGGCCACCAGGATGCGCGGATGAGGTTTCCTGCGCCCTTCTGAGGCAACTCATCGGAGCCTCCCATGCCATCTCGCTGGCTCTTGCGACTCGACGCCAACCGACGCTAACCGACGAAACTCGACGCTAATTCGACACTAAATGTGCGCTCTCTCATCACTTGCCAGACGCTAGCACACACGAGTGCACTCAGAAAATGGATGTGCATGGACGGCAAAGGCTCCCATGAATTGCTACCGAACTGCACCCTGCACTGCTTCCACATTCAAATCTCCAACGTCATAGTTCTACATTATGTTTCCAACTGGGAATTGTTGCTGTCCGCGCGAGGGGGGCGACCGTAAACAGACTTTTTACTGTATACCTACCCCGAGGTTCTCAGAGTTTCTCCCTCGAGGCCAGATCCTTTACAATTTGTACCCGGATCGCGCTCCCGAGGCCAGAACCCTTAGTAAATTACGCCAGATTCGCGCTCACGAAGCCAGAGCCCATTGTAAATTACACGAACTTCGTGCTCCCGAGCCCAGGGTGACTTGTAAATCTCGCCAACTCGCGCTCCCGACGCCAACATCGATCGTAACTTACGCCGGAATCGCACTCCCGAGGCTAGAATCCTTTTGCCCAAACAGCACCCACGACGCATGAGGTTCCGGCATTGCTTCGAGGCGACACCCAGGCATCTGAACATAGCTCTGGCATGTCCCATTATGATAAGATGGGGCCAGCGGCGGAGGGCTATCTTACAAAAGCAAACAAACTTACATCAGATGAATTACGGCTTGTTGCATCCGAAAGCGCAGATGAACTCATAGCACCCAGTTCGTGTGATATCTTTGTTTGGATTTTCGCCAGGCTCGTTTTCAAAATCAACGTCCGTCGACCATCCGCCGCCCGGCCCTGGGAGCACGTAGCCGGAGAAATGCAAGCGGCGGCGGTCATGATATCCGACGCCCCAATAGCTCGAGCTGCAATGAAGCCCGCTCTCAGCATGACTGGAAATTTGGCGAAGCAAATAGCAAAGGAAGGACCCAACCATGTCAAAACACAGGCAGACTGCAAGCAATACCTCTGCAATTATACGCAGGGACACAATCACCGCGCGAAGCGTGTGAGGAGTGTGCCGAAATGGGGCGGGCACCATGCGGACCCAGCCACTGGGGCCTTCGGTGGCGTTCCCTATGGGACCGCGAAGCGTGGGAAGTGTGCCAATTTGGGGCGGCCCGCCGGCCCGTCTTCGGTGGAAATCCCAATGGGCTTTGCAATGCGTGAAGCCTGTGCCGGAATGGGGCGAAGCACCGTGCGAACGCAGTCACGGGAACCCTGTGGAGCTCCCTCTGGGGCTAGGAAATTACTGGAGGTTTCCGTTGAACCCCTCTGGGGCCACGAATCACCACGCGGGCCCTGCCATTCAGGCCGTCGATGCAGCTTTTGGTGGGGCCACGACACGTGCGAGGAGTGCGCCGACATGGGGCGGGGTGGCGCCGTGTGACCGCAGCCACTGGAGCCTTCGGCGAAAATCCCGATGGAGCCACGAAGCACGAGAGGGCGTGCCAGGAAAAAAACCGAACCACCATGCGGACGCAGCCACTTGGTCCTTCGGTGAAGCCCCCTATAAACACGCGAAGCGCGTGAAGGATGTGCCAGACGGCGCCCGGGCCACTGAGCGGACGCAACCGATGGGGCATTCGGCGGAGCCCCCTATGGGGCCACAAAGCGCGCGAAGGGCGTGAAAGAAAAGGACCGAATCACCATGCGGACGCAGCCACCGAGCTTTCGGTGGGGCTCCATCTGGGGCAAAACAACGCGCGAGGAGTGTGCCAAAATGGGCCGGAGCCACCATGCGGACGCAGCCATTGGGGCCGTTGGTCGAACTCCCCATGGGGGAACGAAGCGCGTGAAGTGCGTGCGTGCGCGTGCCGACATGAAGCGCGCGAGGGGCGTACGGAACTTGGCCAAGGCAGGACGAAAGGAGAACAAAAATGAGGAGAAAGAGGAAACTATGGGAGGAGAAAAAGGAGGACGAGGAGGAGGAGGAGGAGGAGGAGGCGGAGCGTGGCCGAAGGGCGCGTTGGATTCGATCTGGCATGGGAAATCCGCACCTGGCAATGCGGGACATGAAAGAAAACGAAATAGCGAAAATATAAGGAAAGGAAGCCGAAGAAGAGGACATCCGCGCACGCCCACCGCCCAGAAAAAAAAAATGATGACGCAGCGCCGAACACCCAGTCGAGAGGGATGGGCCAGGCTGCACAACTGCAGCCGATGTAGAAGACGAAGAAGAGGAGGCGAAGTACCAGAAGAGGGACCAGGTGAGGGAGACAGGGGACATGTATGCGATGACAACGCCGGCCCGAAGACGTGGACACAATAGCCCTGAACGGTGGCCCCGTGAGATGAACCATCAGTCGCTCATCAATCCACACAAGGGAGGGCAAGATGATCAATCGCGCCGCGTAGCCACTCCGCCGCCTTCAGCTTTGCTGGAGCGCCAGGAAGCCACCAACAATGTCATCTCCGATAATGTCGTCAAACTTGCCATAATCAATGGGAGTGCTTTTCGGCTCCAGCCTACGTGGGCCATGCGATGAAGGGGAACGGTGGCCATCTTGTGTCGCCTTCGCATGTGTACTCTCGGCCTGGTCGATTACGTCCTGGCAAACAGGATGCGCAATGTTACTATCTGCGCGGCGACAGCTCCTCCCGCACCTTCACGCCCGCCCCCCCGCACTGGACGACGCGGCCGCCGGCGGCGGTGCAGCGCCACCAGAGACTGAAGCAAACGGAATGCCAGGAGGGCGGCCGTGAATACCATGTTCAGCGGAAAGCGTCCGAATAGCAGACAGCGAAGACGCAACCGTACGCGAGCGCTCATGCAGATAATCGGCAGCTCGTTTAACAACGCCTCCAGCAGCGCTGCACGTGCGACACCTCGCGCACCACCGCCGCCACCTTCTCACCAAAATTTGCCGGCCCAGCGGGCCAGAGGCGTGCTGAATCTCCGGTAACTGGTTAACAATAATTCTAGTTGCGCGCGCGGGGCGGCCCCCGGGGGCCCCCCGGCGAAAAGTACCCCGACCGCAGCCCGGGAACTATTACTCAAAGATGGTTCCCCTCCTGGGCGCGGCCTTCCACGCCCCCCGGAGCGCGCCAAGAGGGCCAAAAGAGCCCCCAAGACGGTCCAAAAGGGCTCCGAATCACCGAACGATCGGCCCAAGGCGCCCAACACGGCGTCAAGACGGCCCAAGAGGCCTCCAAGACGCCCCAAGAGAGCCCCGACCCTTCCCATGAGAGCCCCAAGAGGCAACAATCAATGATTGTCCTAAGGTTTTTGAAGGTTTTTGGCTTCCTCGCCTTTTCGCCTTTCGGACGCTCCAAGACGGCCCAAGACGCCCCCAAGACGGCCCATGAGGCCCCCAAGAGAGCCCCAAGACCGCCCAAGAGGGCCCCAAAACAGCCTAAAAGGCGCCCAAAGAGGGCCCCAAGAGGGCCCCAAGAGGGGCCCGAGATGGAGACCACGAGCCGAACATCCGAGCCTTCCGCTCCAAGAGGCATCCAGGACGCCCCAAGAGGCCCCCGAGAGGCCCCGTGAGGCCCGAAAGAAACACCAACAGGTTCCAAAACGGAACCTCAAGTGGCAAAACTCAATGATTTCCATTGGGTTTCTGAAAGTTTTTGGCTTCCTTGCCTTTTCGCGTTTCCGACGCTCCAAGACGGCCCAAGAGGCCCCGAAGAAGCCCCCATGACCACCCCAAGACGGCCCAAGAGGCCCCCAAGAGAGCCCCAAGACCGCCCAAGAGGGCCCCAAGACATCCTAAAAGGCGCCCAAGAGGGCCCAAGAAGGCCCCAAGAGGGGCCCGATATGGAGACCACGAGCCGAAAATCCGAGCCTTCCGCTCCAAGAGGCATCCAGGACGCCCCAAGAGGCCCCCGAGAGGCCCCAAGAGGCCCGAAAGAGACACCAAAACGCTCCAAAACGGAGCCCCAAGATACAAAACTCTATGACCCTCTTAGGTTTTTGAAGGTTGCTGGTTTCCTCGCCTCCTCGCCTTCCCGACGCTCCAAGACGGCCCAAGAGGCCCCCAAGAGCGCCCCAAGACGGCCCAGGAGGCTTCCAAAAAGACCCCAAGACGGCCCAAGAAGACCCCGAGACGGCCCAAGAGGCACCAAGACGGCCCAAGAGAGCCCCAAGACGGCCCCAAGATGGGGCCCAAGAGAGGGACCACGAATCGAAAACTTGAACGTTCTGCCCCAAGAGGGCCCCGAGACGCCCCGAGAGGCCCCCAAGAGGCCCAAGATGCCGCCAAGAAGCTCCCAGGAGGCCCCAGGAAGCTCCCAGGCGCCTCCGAACGGCCTTTCAAACGATTCCAAAAGGCCTCCTCAACGGCACCTCCTCCTTCTCGCCTCCTCCACCTCGCACCCTAAAGCTCCGCAGTCCCCGCCCAAAGCCTCCGCAATGCCACGCGAGATCCTGGCGGATGTGCGCGGCAGCGCCATGGAACAAAATCACATTTGATTTCAGAGCCTTGATCAGGAAAACTCTCCGCCGCCAACGCTTGGTCGGCATCGGCAGCATCATCAGCAGCACCTGAATCAAACAGCATCATCGTCATCGTTGTCGTCATCATCGCATTTTCCTCGTCATGATCCTCCTCCTCCTCCTCCTCCTCCTCCTCGTCATCATCATCGTCCTCGTTTCTGGAACCATCGTCGTCGCCATCGTCATCGTCATGTGTTCAGTTTCGTCCTCCTCCTTCTGCACGTCATCCTCGTCCTCCTCCTACTTTTTCTCCTCCTCCTCCTCCTCCTCCTCCTCCTCCCTCCTCCTCGTCCTGGCCGCAGGTTTTTTTTTCCAGGGCCTCCCCTCGAGTCTAGATCGCCGCAATGCGGCACGTGCCTCCTCTGAGGTCCCAGTCGCTACGATGCAGCGTTTCGCCCACGCCTCCGACCTCTCTCGGAGGACGAGGCGGGTACAGGAGGAGGCACCCAGAGGTTCCAGAACCTTCAGTAAGCTCCAACATGGAGGAAGACCCAGACATCCGCGCGCTCCAATATGTTCGACAGGGGTCCCCGGAGGTCGACCACTTCCCCGTTTCCCTCGTACCTTTGCCTCCTCCCCCTTCCCCCACTGAAACTGCACACTTCCTCCCCCGCCTCCTCCTTTTTCTTAACCTCCTCCTCCTGCTCCGCTCCCCCCCACCTTTTCCATCCAATGCAGTGTTGCCCCTCTGCACTGCGACCACCCCCTTTTGCTCCCTTCCTTCCAAGCCCACGCACACTCTTTCTCTCTTTCTCTCTTTTCCCTCTCACGTCGAGGGGCATACCTGTCGCAATAGTTACACTGTGTTCATGGCCCCCGCATGAGCGTCCACGAGCAACGAGCCCCCACAAAGGCGCCAGGGACACCCCAGAGCGGCACAACCTAGAAGCCCCGTTGAAACAACGATTCCCCCGACACCTCCTCAGAAGGTCGACGCGAAGCTGTTTCGCGGGGGCAGCTTCAACACCACCATCCCGAACGCAACGCCTCAGAAAAAAATGCGCCGACCCCTGCAGCTCCGCACTGCCGACGACCTCTCGCCCAATCGACCGCAGTGCCTCATCACGGGCCGGCGGAATGAGCGAAGCGATTACATATTTTCAAACAGAGGTCCAGTACAGGGACATCGATGCGAGCGAGAACCTCAAGCACCACGCCGCGCATACTCGCCCAATCAGACATGGGAGTAGAAGCGGCGGCGAGTCCACCCGCTCCTGCAGTTCGCGAAGTCGGAAGGTCTTGTCTCCACGATCCCACGGCGCGTCCCCCGAAAATCCTGAAGACGAGGCGCCCGAATGCGTGGGCGACGGTGCTGGAAGATCACCGGTTTTGTCCAACATCCATTTGAGCTAAGCAATTATGTGAATATGGACCTACTACACTAGAAAAAAAAGAAATTGCGGATCATACACCGGTTGAGCAGCCGCCACAGCCTGAAGAACAAACCATGCGGACTGATACGAAGCCGGCTGTGCAGGAGCAGATGCCCCCTCATGCAGAGTAGGATGCTGCGGAAAAGACGCAGTGGCCGTCGGGTTCAATTCGCGACCTTGCAGACGAGGGCGATCGCGACGGACAACAACAATATCAGGTCCAGTGCGATGCTCCTCACCGAAAACCTCATCAATGGAATATGCTATCCTCTGCTGCGTGATGTGCTCACAGAAATGGTGGGCGAAATCGACACTGATAATATTGCTACGAAATTTGGGAGACAAGCTTTCCAAAGCACGCGCTGCCGCTGACAAGCCTTGGAAACTGGGTACCGTTGGGAGGCGCCAG